CCCCACTTTAACAATAAACCCTCAACACCCCCCCCCCTCTTATTTTCCCTAAACCTTGCTAAACAGTAGAATTATTAAAAAACTTGCGTTTTCATTTGAAAACATTCAACAAGTTTAATATAGAGATGCAGTCTATCAATAATCATACGAATCTAAGGGCAATTTAAAAGTATTCTTACTCTTAATTTGTATTTCTGGACTTTATCCATAATGTATTGAACATTTTTTAAATAAATTAATTATCGTATTTTTTAAATTTTTCTAATGGAACAATACCAAAAGATTTTGAAAACATTGACAAGAAAGATTAAATATATTTATCAAAAAATGATCTTGGTGCAATTGAAATTGTGCAAAAACACAGGAGTTAAAATGCTGTAAAATAGCCACATCTGAGTATATCATTGTAATGTACAGGAAGATCAAAAATGGCGGGGAATTCAATATTTGATATTTTCTAGGAATGTATTACAACAATGGTTCAAATTTTGGAAATTAAGTAAACGTAACAATTTACAATTAGTTCCATACAGGATAAAGTGCGTGCCAATCTTCTTAAACGATCGTGCCAAAAAGCCGTTAGAAAATAAATAGTATTTATGTTTAAGTAAACATTAAACATGGAATCATATTTGAATTTGTTTAAAATAATGATAATCCTTCCGCGTTCATGAAAGTCATGAAACCATATTAAAATGGAGAACGTAACATACTTAAACTCCCGATTAACTTTCCTTAAATGTACAAGAGGTAATTTTCAATTGGTCCTCGAATCACCGATTATCAATCTCTAAACGGTCCTCTTAAAAGTGTTACATTGTAAAGGATGAATAAGATATCTTTCTTCCACTCTCTAAAAATTGCTTTTTAATTATAGTATTGCTGTGAATCAGGCATGCTCGCATAAACTATGATCTTTTTAATTAGGACTGGGCCCTCCTTTTAATCATACTAACACTACCCTCGTGACTGAGGCCCTATTGTTGATATTTAACTACAATTTTTATTTTCCGCAGCATGAGGGCAATATTGTTTTTATTGAATCACAGGGCGATTAAAATGCATCTGTTATTACAAAATTGACGTCATGCAGTTTTTACATTCCAGCTGATAAGGGCCCAGTACTCATATTCATTCAAAGTCAAACAGTGACATATGATGATGCTTTCCCCAAACAACTGCGAACCAGATAAATCCGCGAAAATAGAACTTATGAAAGTACAAACTAAAACGGCAATGTACAAATATACGAAAATTGAAAAATACCAAAACTACTTATCTTTAAGTATTTTATAGAAACAAAAATTTTAAAGATTCATTTTGATGAAGTTTTCAATTATCAATCTTAAAATTTCAAAAAAATTGACAATAATTGATCCCTATCCTAGCAAGGAGAAAAACATGTGAGTGTACAGATAACATTTATTAATAAAATATTCTCAATAAAATAATTATAATACAGCATTGAAAAAATACTAGGGAAAGAAGAAGAGTGTCGGTGATGTTGGACACATATTCGTCAAGGAGCATAGAACTTACATTAATTTAATATATATAGAACTTTAAACAGTTTTGTAAGAATATAAGAATATAGCAATTATAGTTCAACAAATCCTCCAAATACGATTTTTCTATAATTATCACCGACAAAGGGAAGAGATTCGGTCTTGTTAGACCACAAAAAGTAAGACAAGTTAGGACACTCTTTTCTAATAACAAGATTTGATGGACTTTTGGACTCAGTCCAAAATATAAAAATGAATGAAATCACTTAAAAATTCACTAGCCGCTGATCAAAGCTCTTTAAGAACCTGGAGGTCGTCTTTTTTAATCGTCCTCGTCCTGAGACATCCCATCCCCGGCCGCCGCTGGGATGATCGGGACGATCACCTTATTCCCACTTCGTCGCCGAATGGCAGCTTTTTTATCGGCGATGATCTTATGGAAGGGATTGTCTCTGATCGAGTCTTGGATACACTCGATCCACTGATCCATGTCGTCTTTGCTCGTAGCTGACATTCTGAATAAATAAATAAATAAATAAATAAAACTTAACTGAATAAAAATGGAAATTAGAAGTAATCAAAATCAAATTGTTCCAGGTGTTAAAATTATCAAATCTAAAGAAACTGCATAAGTTCTGCAAACCCAGTGTTAGTTTCAAAGCAATGTGCAAAAATCTATCAAGCCATGCAGTGCTGTCATCATACCACATTTTTAGAAAACGAAAAGAGGGGAAACCTTGATTTGTAAACTAAACATGCAAGATACTGCGGAAGTTTAATCAAAGAAAGGGAAATGAAACTGCTTTTATACATAAATTCCTGGTAAAAATAGTGACAGATTTGAAACAAAGACGACTAGAACATGCCGCGGCTGTGGTTTTGAAGCAAAGACGACTACACACAAGTTGTAAGAAAAACATGGCGCTTGCTGAAATAAAAACAATGGAGAGCCTGTTTTACCTGTAGGATTTATGATTTCCTTGAACAACAGTTCCAGAACTATCAGTCTTGCATCCTTTAATGATATCTGCTTGTTCAGAGTAAATCTCAAACACCCATCTTAAAAAAAAAATATTTTATAAAAATCCAATAAATATTTTTTTTAAATAATGTTTTAATTTTTCTTTTCTGAAAATAAGTATATAAAACAATACCTCTTTCCGTCTTTTTCATCCAACGCGCGCACGCGCACATTCTCGAGAGGAATGATTCCCTTGGGAACGTTTTCCGCGGTATGTTGGAAATAGTAGAGACAACGATCATTGAGGACAAACCATCTTCGCTTCCAGTTCTTCCAACTTCCACCCTGATAAAAAAATATTAAAAATGAGTAAAAACTAAATTATTTTTCTGTAATGTTTTTAACCATTTAAAGTTTTTAAACTTTTAAAAAGAGGCTCTGTCAGATTCTTGTTTGTTTGTAGTCTTTCATATTTTTTATTTTAATTATGTTTTGGAATAACTTTTTGAATAGAAATCAAATAAATTCTTTATTAAAGTTATACAGCACACAACCCACCCACGGTAATATATTCTTTTACGTCTATTCAGTTGATTTGAGATACATCACAAAACTAGAATTCCTATTCCCACTCGTTAACCTCGAGTAGTGTGTCTAACCCGACTTTTTGTGCAAAAATGCTAAACAATACTAAAAATATTCGCGTGAAATTTCGCTCTTTCCCAGAAACAGAATAAATATTTCTGAACAAGCGCGAGTAATTGAATTTGGTCTCGTTTTATTATATGTTCTTTCCAAATAAGAAGGAGGGGGTGCACCCCCCCCCCTTTCTATTCAGTCTGCCGCTACACTGTCAGTTATATTACAAAGGACTGAAATTATTTTGAAGAGAGCGAGAATAATTCTCTCCATCTCTCCCCCTGCAATGAAAACTAGGGTTCAAGTTTCTCTCTAGGTCTTCCTTAGAGTAGGAAAGTTGTGTTTGGAAAGAGAACTGGCGTACTCCGGGTCAATCAAAGAGTACAAGAAGACTTGCTCTGGGGTTATTAGTAAGTACGGAAAGACTTATTCTGGTACTATTAACAAGCACGGAAAGATTTACTTGTGAGTTCTCTAGAAAATTATTCTATATAATGCAAAGAGATGGTATCTGGGCATTGTAAAACTTAAGGGGAGAGATTTAATAGATAGAATGGGGAGATCTTTTTTTAAGATTTGAACCCTATTATTTTAGGAGATCTTATTACAATAGGAATTGTTAATAAAGAATAGACTAGTGGATTTATCACGTGGAAAACTGGAAGTTCTATTCTGGTCAAATAAAGGAGAATTACAAACTATTAAAGATTAGAAGAATCCAAGTTTCTTTGATTAAATTATAATTTAGAAACTTATTCAAGATACACAATTCACCCTTTCCCACCTTATTTTGTTCTACTCTTTATTAACAATCCTCCCCCCCCCCCCC